TTGAAAAATGAAACTGAATATAAACTGCACAGAAATTACTTAACTAATCTCCTACGCGTATCAAAAAAAATGAGTATTACTCAAATAAAATTGTGGAAGCAAAATATGACATGAAAAAAATCTGGAGCAATATAAACGAAATAACTAACACCAAACCATGAATAAAATTTAAACATTTTGATATTGTAACTGTCAATGAACTTGAAATTCCATCAGACACAGAGAAATCCAACTATTTTAATAAGTTTTTTGTTGAAATTGGGGACGATATGGGGTGAAAAATCGAGAAACCCAAAACGACTATTGTTGAAAACCATGTAAACATGTGCAACTCATTATTTCTTCAACCGATAACTAAAGAACTGATCACTGTTATAGCTGGACTCAAAAATAGCACATCTCCTGGACCTGATGGAATTTCTGTTCATATTATTGAAAAGTATCACACTTACTTTGCTATACCCCTTTGTCATATATTAAATTCAATCTTCGTAGCAGGAGAAATACAAGCCTCCTTCAAAGAATCAATTACAGTACTAATTTTTAAGTCTGGGGATAAAAAACTTGTAACTAATCATAGACCTATAACACTCGTAAACAATTATCGGAGACTCTGCCACTTTCATATTTTGATTTCACCTCTGACATATTTCTTCATTTCCATTTTTTAACACTATACCAAAATATGAAGGTGGCAGAGTATCTGGATCTGTACCGCCCCCGACGACCGGTTTTTTGACCTCACCTCTGACGGATTTATCTGTTTCTATTTCTTAACACTATACCAAAATATGAAGATGTCAGAGTCTCTAATAAAAATAATGCTGGATCTGTACCGCCCCCGACGGCCGGTTTTTTGATTTCACCTCTGTCATATTTCTTTATTTCCAGTTGTGACCACTATAACAAAATATGAAGGTGGCAAAGTCTCTAATAAAAAGATTGCTTGATCTGTACCGCCCCCTACGGTCGGTTTTTTTATTTCACCTCTGTCATATTTCTTTATTTCCATTTCTTAACACTATACCAAAATATGAAGATGGCAGAGTCTCTAATAAAAATAATGTCATATTTCTTTATTTCCATTTCTTAACACCATACCAAAATATGAAGATGGCAGAGTCTCTAATAAAAATAATGCTGGATCTGTACCGCCCCCTACGGCCGGTTTTTTTATTTCACCTCTGTCATATTTCTTTATTTCCATTTCTTAACACCTCTGTCATATTTCTTTATTTCCATTTCTTAACACTAAGTCAAAATTGACTTTTTGTTTAGATTTTCTCGCAAACAGTGGAAATGAAATGTAACAGACGATTACTGAAACAGACCATCATCAAGAAATGTTGATGAAACAAAGGGGGGTTCAGCAGGGCTCCATTCTTGGTCCTAGTTATATCTCATTTACATCAACTAAGTTTAGACGTCATATTTATATGTGAAAAATCACCTGTTTGAGAACTTTTCAAATCTTCAATTCTACGATAATGTAATGTATATCAACAAGAGAGTTCTTCTGTGCATAACAATCAAATCATCCGAAAATATCTGGATATTTTTCCTAATCAGTAGATTGCAGCATATGGACCACTAAAGTGTCCAGCAAAATCACCTGAAATAACCCCACTGAACTTTTTTCCGAAACCACTCGGAAAATATATCAAATACCACACAAAGAGTTTGCTACCCTCAGTCGAAAACATTTCTTTGAAATAAAACTGAAGTTACGACTTCATCAAAGATGAATCACGGAAATTATATTATCGCGCCGGTAAATTTCAATTAACTTATCACATACGATTCATAATTAATATTAGTTAATAACTAGTCGAGAAACGAAACTCTGGTTAATCTTTGTATAATCAGTGATTATAAATAGCTGAGTGTCGAACTTCCTGTGGAATTCACTCGTTTAAATACCTCAAGCTACGCGAAGAGTTTAAATTCAAGTCTGAGTCGAATGGAATATGGATATTTCCCGTTTGAAACTTGTTGCGGAAGTTTGGCTTGAATACGATGTTGCCAGTTTGATTTCAGTTCATTTGATGTCAAAGAGGCTGAAAAACTCAATGAATTTTGGAGGAATTCATAATGATAATAATAGTAATATAATAATGATATTTATTCCCAGAGGAAAGAAGAATACAGAACAATGTATTAAGAAGAGTAAGGTGAATAATTGAGTACTACTCGATTAGTATTTTTCACACTTGTTTCGAGGAAACACAATGCATTAAAACTTAGAAATAATAAACATTCTGACCGACAATTGCGGAAATATGAGTATCAAACTTGTCTAAATCTAAAAATAAATATTTACAAATCATTCGCATACACTCATATACATGTGTAACCATGGGCGTCCCCCAGGGGACAGTTCTAGGCCCAGTTTTGTTCTTAATATACAACAATGACATTCACAAACTTGAAAACATCCAAGGCAGCATTAGTCATTTCTAAGCGATGAGTGAGAGGAAGTCTTTGAAAGAGCTGAAAGGGACTCACATCTGTTTTTCTTGGTCAAACACAAGTCTTTTGAGCCTAAACATCGCTAAAACTAAATACGTAACATTTACCCTCACAAATAAAGATCAACCTTCCAAAAATAAGGTCACTATACAGAAACCTATTTAAAATAATCTAAAAGAACAATTCGTTCAGGCCAGTCTTAACACCCTACACAGTAGGTGACACCTGACAAACCTATTAGCCAAAGCCCAATGATATGCACATGTCCTACAGTTGATAAGGTAAACAACATGAAATATCTTGGTGTATATGTAGAACCAACATTTACGATGGGACGAACATGTAGAGCAGACCGTTGAAAGACTTAGTGAATTATCTCATAAATTCTACCAACTCAGAAATCTCAGTAATAAAAAGCTACTAACAATGATATACAACTCACTCGTAGAATCAGTTCTGAGATATTGCATATAATATGGGGTAGCGGCAGCAAAAGCCTGTTACATAATCTAAAGGTAATGCAAAATACTATCCTGAAAATCATGTTCAATCATAAAAAAAGATACTCCACTGTAGCACTATACAAAGAATCAGACTTATTTGAGGTGAGAAAATTATACACTTATCACTGCATATTATGGATGCATGATAACCCCATCCCCAAAATAAATCATAAATATGAAACCTGGGCCAAATTTCATCAGAAAACGAATGTTCCTCGCTGTAGATTAATTTGCACTCAGAGATTTACATCATACTCTGGCCCAAAACTAATAAATCTAGTTCCTTCAGACATTAGAGCAATCTCCAATAAATACAAATTCAAGTCAAAACTGAAAGAATATGTGAATCAAAACTATGACATATTGAAACCTGTCTATGATCTGGGTTCATAATCAAAGTTCTCTCTAGGCTATGGATATAAACTACTCTCTCTTTCCACCAGTTTTCCTTCCTTCCAACCATCTGTATCAGTTATATTTACTTTGTCAGTATGAGTGTTTGCTTCATTATGCAACAATGATACCTCATTTATATGTGTGTACGTATGCATATTGTCATCTCTCGGGGGAATCAGTCCAGTCATCACCCGAAGACGATTGTAGATACCAACAATCGAAACGTCGTGAACTAACGTGACTTGGAATCTCTATTGATTGTTCAAGAAGAAATATTACCATACCAATGACAGTCAAATATCCCGTGGGTTGGGCTACCTATCGGGCGCGTCCCCAGGTGGCGGATAGGGGAACGGCCAGGGGACTGTCCGGGAAGTCAATGTGACGTTAAGAACGGGAGCGCCGGACTCCTGGTCAGTGGCAGGGTGGTAGGGTGAGGGGAACTAAAACCCTCCAAAAGCCTTAGCAAAACATGCAACCGTGGACCAGCCTACCGAGCTGAGGTGTAAGGAATCGTGCCGACAGCTGAATGGCCGCAGGGTGACATGCGATTACGAACGATCCTCTTGCGGAACCGGGCGAAACCTCATTGTAATCAGGCTACCTCTAGTAATGCGGGGCTCTGCCGGAGGTGACCAACTCTTCCCTTGCTAACATGAATGAAACAAACATAAAAACAGAAACAACAAAAACAAAATCCCGAGGCTAGACAGAAGTACTCACCTCAATCCAAGGCGGTAGCTGGGGATGAACAGAAGTGTCCACCCCAATCTACCGCTTGGAATTAGGCTGGACATAACAGATCACCTCGTGATTTAATACAAAGGCCAATGCGTTAGCGCATTTGCGGCGCCGAGGCCAAAAGGAGAAAGAGAGCGAAGGAGGCAGGGGTGGCAGCAACTACAAGTGTACCCTCCTCCTCCTCTACTCCACCTTCAACAGCAAGGGCACTTCCTGCGGCGGGGGCTAAGAGCATCGCCTTGAATAAAGGCAAGGAACCTGCGGCGGGGGCCAAGAGTTCCGTCTTGAATAAAGGCAAGGAACCGGCTGCCCCTGCAGAAAAGCTCCCTCACTTCTGCACCTCCACGGAGGGAACCCCAAGAAGGTTGAAGAAGCCGCGCAACGACACTGATGTCGCTGCACCTTCCAAAACCTTCACGGAGGCCACCGTGAGACATCTCAAGGTTGCCAACGAGGGTGTGTGTTCGGCAAGTCTTGGCCTACACTTGCCAATATAAAGGAGATGTTTCCTAGTGACCTGTCCAACTTCCTGGAAAGGACAGTATGGTCCATGACCTAGAAGGACAACTCCTCGGGAGGATGTACAATGGGTCACATGTGGCCTAAGCGCTGTGGGATTACACTCACCTTTCCTACTCTGCAGATACAGAACAGTCAAATATACCTTAGATTCACCCGAGAGAGACCTGTTCAGGGTAAGTTTCATTACCTCTCCTGGTGCGAATTCTGCTTCTGCTGCTTGAGAATTTGGCGCAAGGTAGATTCAAATGATGTGAACTTGAAGAGGCGCAGGTCTATCAGGACTAAGGTAACCTTTGAAATTTCCGCAAACTCATGGACTCCAGTCAAATCTCAGGGGATGTAAGGAAAAAAAGCAAACTTTGGCCTTACCTGTGACGGGAGCTTCAATGTCGATCATCGTCTTTTCGGCGCGGAGCAGCTGCGCGCCCTCGTTGATGATTCGAAGGGCGGCGGTCTCATCGATGCGCCCTTCCAATATGAAATGCTGCTTCAACACGTCCGGCCGCGGTTTCGCCGTTCTCGGGTCGAACACTTCGGCGACTGTCAGTTTGTGACTCGGTGGGAACGGTACGGCTGGAACCAAAAGAGAATAATAATAATAATAATAAATCTCTATTTTTCAGTTAAAAAGCATGAATGTATGAATACAGTCCAGCAGTAACTGACAAAAACGTCATAATTAATATGAATTCAAATGATATGAACACAGTCATAAGTTATTAATATAAAAGGAATAAAATACACACATCGGAAAAGTCTAGGGATATTTTCATAACATACTGAATATCATAAAAATAAAAGCATGAGGTCGTTTAATTTCGATTAAATTGGTACACTCGACCACCCTGTAGATTTCTATGGGTTGAACAAAGCCTGCAAAAACGGTAACTTATAAATACAAAACAGGAAAGAATTGTCAGATGATAAAAACATTAAAATAATATATATACATATATACACATATACATATATACATACACATACACATATATACACACATACACATACATATATACACACA